TTAGTGCAGATGACAGGAAAGCATAGGGCTATGAGGATAAAATAATTTCCTCCATTTGATGGATAGTCTTATTAAATTAGTTAATTCCTTTTATCTTTCAAAAATGCCCTTGAAAAAAATGCCTTGCTCCCAATAAAAACTTCTTAAAGAGCTTCAGACTATGTTAAACAGCTACTGTCCATGTGTAGTAACTGTCACAGCCTGTCCCAGAGTTGCCTTTGCCTGTGCCCCACACACACGCATAAACAGAGGGCACATCTACACATGAAATTAATGCACCACAGTAAACTGTAGTGCATATCAAGCCAGCATTTATTGCTCCCTGGTGCCGCATTTACATCCATGGTCAGGACCACAGCATGTTGAGCTGGATTGGAGCATCCCCGGCTGGCAGGGGCCTGGGCAGGTCAGCCTGCCGGCCTGGGACTGCTCCAGCCCGGCTCAGTGTGCTGTGGAGGGGTTGGCTGAGGCACGAGGGTGCTCCAGTGTGGGGCTAGCGGGCAGGCAGTCCCCACACTGAAGCACCCTTGTGCCCCAGCCAGCCCTGTCAGCATCTACACATGTGTTGCTGTGCACTAAAGAATGTTGCTGTAGGGTAGTATTTGTGTTTACAAGTACTAACCTATGGCAAAATTAATTAGTTTACTGTGGCCTAATAAAACCTGCACATATAGACACATTGAGACTTTACTGCAGAGCTAGTTTCATGGACATTAGGGCTGGAAGGGACCGTGGAAGATCACTGAGTCCAGCCCCCTGCCCCAGGGGCAGGAAGTCAGTTGTGGTCAAAGGATCCCAGCAAGATAAACATCCAAATGTCTCTTAAAGGAGTTCAGAGTAGGTGCTTGCACCACCTCTGGTGGCAGTCTGTACCAGGCCTTGGGGGCTCGGACAGTAAAGAAGTTCTTCTTTATGTCCAGCCTGAAATGGTCTTGGAGGAGTTTGTGACCATTTGACCTTGTCATCCTTTGGGGCACTCTGATGAACAGGCATTCCCCCAGATCCTGATGTACACTCCTTATATACTTATAGGTAGCCACCAGGTCCTCCCTGAGCCTGTGCTTTTCCAGGCTGAAGAGTCCCATGGTTCTCAGCCTTTCATCACAAGGCCTGTTCTCCTGCCCTCTGATTATGTGTGTGGCTCTCCTCTGGACTCTTTCAAGCTTTTCCACATCCTTTTTAAATTGTGGAGCCCAGAATTGGATGCAGTACTCCAGCTGTGGCCTCACCAAGGCTGATTACGGCGGGAGGATGACATCTTGGGATTTGCTTGAGAAGCATCTATGGATGCAAGCCAGAGTTTTGCTCGCTTTACCAGCTGCAACATTGCATTGGTGGGTCATATTCATCTTGTGTTCAATCATGACTCCCAAGTCCCTTTCGGCCGTGGTGCTAGCAAGTGTAGCACTGCCGAGCCTATAAGTGTGCTGTGGGCTTTTTTCCCCAAGGTGGAGTACCTTGCATTTTTCAGTGTTGAACATCATCAAGTTTTCGTACGCCTATTTTCTGAGCCTGTCTAGGTTGGCCTGGATCACCACCCTATCCTCAGGTGTGGACGCTTTACCCCAAAGTTTGGTGTCAGTGGCAAACTCGGCCAGTCTGCTTCTGATACCAATGTCCACATCATTAATAAAGATGTTAATGAGTATAGGCCCAAGGACAGAGCCTTGGGGGACCCCACTGGTCACACCGCACCATGATGATTATTTCCATCGACTACCACTCTCCGGGTCTAACCTCAGAGCCAGTTCCCCAGCCATCAGACTGTGATGCAGCTGAGGCCGCAGTTGGCCAATTTTTCCATGAGATGATCATGGGACACCAGATTGAAGTCTTTTTTAAAATAAAGTTTGGATTTGGCAGAGTCCTTTTCCCATGAGATGTCCAGGTAGTTGAAGTCTCCCATGACAACCATGCACCGGGAGCGTGCAGCCTCAGCCAGATCCTTGACGAATTCCTGGTTGAGCTCTTGATCCTGATTTGGGAGGTCTGTAATAGACTCCTACCATTGTGTCCCCTGTGCCATGTTCACCACAAATTTTTGCCCAGAGAGTCTCCAGTCGTCCACCCTGGATGCCAGTGTCGGCTTGCAGGGACGTTTAGCTTTCCTTAACATAAAGGGCTACACCCCTGCCCCTTTTGTCTACACGATCTCTCCTGTACAAGGCATAGCCATCTATACCAGTGGCTCAGTCATAGGTGGAGTCCCACCAGGTCTCCGTTATCCCTATGAGATCGTAATCATTCTTGTTTAGCAGGAGGACCAGTTCCTCCTGTTTGTTCCCCAAGCTCCTGGCATTGGTAAGGAGCTTACCCTATTGGGCAGGTAAGTGTCCCATTGGAGGCCCTAGTCTTCCCTATACATCGTTCTGGGGCTGGGGTAGGGGTGGGTTCCCTTGAGTGCCTTAACCTGCTGGATTAGTCTAGTGGGCTTGCTGTGGCAGTAGTCCCCCCCCCATTCCCCAGCGGGCTTAGTTTAAAGTCCGGTTGAGCAGGTCAGCTAGTCTGGCTGAGAAGAGCCTCCTCCTCAGCACAGTGAGGTGGAGGCCATCTCTTCCCAGCAGATCACTGCCTCTCTCACCAAAGAGCGGACTGTGATTGTGGAAGCTGAAGCCTTCCTGATGACACCAACACTGCAGTCTTTGGTTAACTACCTCAATCCTCCTCTCCCTCCTCAGCCCATATCCCGAAATCAGGAGGATTGAGGAAAACACTACCTGTGCCCCCAACCCCATAAGCCCCGCTTCCAAAGCCCTTGGTTAGGCAGTTCCACAGTAAATGTCTTGTATAGATGCACCCACAGTCATCTAGCTACCATCCATGTTGCTTCTCCACTGCTTCTCAACTTTTCTTTGAGCCGGAGAAAAATCAAGTGCAGCAGTGGGTGTAGACAGGCCTAAACATTAAAACATTTCAAACACTTTGAAAAGTTCCAAAAGGCCAGCTGTGCATATATATCAAAGCCCTCTGAAATGTTCCAGAAATAGCCAAAACACTCCTAAATGGGACCTCTTTAAATGAGGCACTCTCTGGGAGAGTTTCACACTTGGTTATGTCTGCGTTGGGGAAGGAGGGTGGGAGAGTGGGGTGGACAGCCCGCCTGCTGTCCATGCTGGTAGTCTTGCTCTTCAGCCCCACTCCCCTTTACCTCTCCCACATCCCCCTCTACTCCTCCCTCTCCTCTACCTCCTGTCTCTGTGTGGGGAGGGAAGGAGCAGAGCAGAGCCCTCTGGCTGGCATTAGAGTAGGCTGCAGTGTTTCCAAACCTGTTCTGTTCAGGAATGACCCGGGGGCCATGAGATCCCTAGCTGAAATGTTTCCTTTATGAAATGTGTCCGAGTGCATTTCACTTGGAAAGGTTTTGGTTGTTGCATCTGTCTGCACCCAGTATAAAAGCACATATGCATGTGCAGTATGTAAGAGAGGGTGACAGAGACTGTATTCAAACCAACTTAAACCTTGGGGAAGTTCAGACCTCAATCTGGATCCATGTGCTGCAGCTTGGGTCCATCTCTTTAGTCGCCACCAAACTTGACACCCTTTCGTTCACTCCTTACCCAGCTGAGCCTCTCCAGCATAACTTTGACAGTTCTCTTTGCCTGTGTTTTTCAGCATATGCCCCTCTTGAATAGAAAGATTATCTCAGAGCACCACTTTTTCCCATGAATATCTTCCATGTTACTGATGATAGAATAACATACTTGTGACCACTACAATCATTCTTTAGGTGGAAAAATATTTAACATACCATATTTTCTCATGCAGCTCTTTTTCAAAATTCAGCTACTGGGAATTAGCCTGCACGTTATAAGCAAGGAAATATAGCAGTAGCAGTTTCTGCTTCTGGTGGAGAAAGCAAAAGTAAAGCTGCATGTGTGACATGCTGGGCTCCTTAGCGGTTGGCTGTGCCCACTTGATTTCCTCTCCCATGCCCTCCCCCAGCAGAGGCTCTTAAGGAAAGATCTTGTTTTCTTCATTCTGCCTTTCAAAACCGGGGGCACGTCTTTTATTTGGGGGCGTGGTGTATGTGGGAAAATATGGTATTTTAATGCAGTTTGCCATAGTGTTGAGAGTAGAGCTAACACTGTGAAAAAGAACCTGGGTATTTTACACATCAGCAGATATCATGGTATTGCAAGTGTGAAGCTGTATCAAACTGTAATGTTACCCAGGGAGATCTCCGAGTGGAGCTGAGTCCAGTCGGTATGTAAAGAGGAGGATTCTAACAAAAAAGGGGTATGCAAAGGAGTTACATTAGTGATTTTATTGATGGCATTTCCTTCTGACAGCACAGGATCAGCCCTCTTTGGTGTTTGAGGGGGCAGAAGGTGCATTCTGTTAGAGATGGTCTTTCAGATGAGACTTGAAATGGAAGATCCTGCCTGAAACACCATTTACAAAAATACGGATATTAAAATAGCTGGAGGGAAAATATAAGAAAATTGCATTTGTTCTTTTTTTCTCCTTGTTTTTATCGATGTTTCACTTTGATTTATAAACCTCCTTTGAAAATAACTCTAGTTGTTAACCCAGTGTCCCATCTTCAGTAATAGCATTTTTCCTAACTTAAATAACATCTAGATAATCTGTCATACAGTCACCATGTTTCACCCCTAGGTAACTGGGTTTCAGTGATGTATAAATTGATCCATGGGTATAATTTTAAGTTTTTGGAAGATTGAGCAGTACTTTGGCATCCTCCAGACTGCAAGGTGATGTTAGTGACTTGAAAAAAATTGGTAAATGTTTTGCTTACCAAAAAAGGTCATATGAGAGAGTATTACTCATGTTTAAAGGATAATATAGGTGAAGACATTTTTGTAACTTGATTTTGTTTCTCTTGGGATCCCTTAAGTTACTATATATTATCAGCACAAGGGCAAGAGCTATTAATAGAAATGCCTGTACTTTGCAATAGATTATTCTTTACTACCTAACAACTTAATAGACTATCACCATACGTTGCTGTTATTAAAAGAAATCTATTTTTTTTCTTTTAGAGGAGAAAAGGAACAGTATCATCAACTCCAGCCTAGAATCTGTCATATCTTCAAATGTAAACAGCTTCCTCCTCTCCAACAGTGCTCCCCAACCCAACCTGAACTCAAGTGACCCTGACCTAGAAATAATTAAACCTAACAGGCCAAACTCACTGTAAGTACTGTGATAATTAGTGTGTCTTAAGGTCTCTGCCCAGCTAACTCACAAATCTTTAATCAGGATGTTGACTTAAAGTGAAGTTACACGTTATGCTTAGACCATACTAAATTTGTGGACTGTTAAGTGCTGTTAAAGTTAGAACATGCTGTGAGCAGTCATGTGTTAAAGGTTAATACCATTTTTTGCCTGCACAGCTCTGACTTGCCACTAGAGGACTGGCAAGCAGGAACTAGGAGCCAGGATATCTAGGCTCTATCCCTGTTCTGGTGGTGGGAGGAGGCTGGGAGTGGTGTATCCTGGGATGCTGGAGGACTGCAGATTGCTCATTTTATCTCCATGGAGTAGACTGAAGTTACCCTAACATGAGCTTGGTAGCGTGACCCAGAGTTAAACCTTGCCTGAAGTGGCATAACTTTGAGATGCTCAGAGGGCGCTTAGCACGAGTTAACAAACTTGAACACGTGGATGCTTGTGTTATAAGTGCTCTTAGTGTGGTTTAAGGGTAGTATGTAACTTCACTCTTAGTCTGACTCGAGTATTACTAGAAGAATAAAATTTAACTTTTTTTAATGGGGAACTAGCTTGTGCTCTCCATTTTTACCTGAGTTTGAATTACAGAGCATGTTAGTATTTGGTATATCTTTTGGCTACTTTTAGCTTTAATCTATTTTAAATGTGTGGGATATTTTTCAAGTAGGTCTTTACGTTACTTTACTGTTTCAAGTGTTGTGATGCATTTGGTGTCAACTCCAGCAAGCACAGAGGAAGGTAAATAAAGCTGTGGAACATAGCCCTAATGAAACAGGTTTTTTTCTTACTTAGTTAATTAAGATCTAAGACTGCTTTCAGTAATAGCTGGTCTCCAGCCAAAGTTGTACCATTGCTTATGAGAGAGCTTCCTTCATCTGGCAAAAAACATCAGCTTTAACGTTGACTTCCAGGGGATGGATGAGCTATTGTGAAATCCCTTGACCTTGTCTCCTCTGAATGCTCGCACCAGTGGTTCTGCTGAGGAGAATTTCCTTCCTTTAGGGGCTCTGTTGGGCCTGCCAACTTTCTCCCTTGCTTTTCCCACAGATCTGAAGAGATTCCCACCCGACACACTAAACACTTGCAGACCTTTTTTTCTTCATTTTTTTTTCTGCATTTCCCACTGTGTTTCTATATGTCACTCAGTAAACCATGTCAGCAACTATCCCTTCAGATGCTCTGACTAGGATGGTATCACAAGAATGTCATTGCCCTCATTCTGCAACCTTCCAAGGTCTGACCGGTCCTCCTCCTACCTCCACTACTTTCACACAGTTCAAAGTCTGCAAATTCCCACTCTGCTCTAAAAGATTTTTGGTCCCTTGGAAGTCAGTGAGAAGTCACTTCACTTTTTCTTGTGATGATCTTGGTAAGTGGACTTGGTAAGTGTTGGTAAATTGGGGAAGCTGAAAAGCATGCCAGCCTTTCAGAGCTATTATTATTACAGTTTTGAAACACAAAGCTGTTGCCTGGATTCAGAGTGCCTTCATGAACTGTGCGAGTAGTTTCTGTACTTACATCATTCTGTGCAAAGGTTTAGACCCGTAGCTGTAGAATTCTGTTTGGGACCAAGTATACGAACATCCTAGAACTGGTGTAATTCCCTATGTGAACTTAGCCCTTACATTGCCATGCCTGCATTTCCAAAACACCCATGTTTTCATTTCTGGCCCTTGCTTTTCCTTTACTCTACAGCCCATTACCATGTGGACTTCACGAATGCCAAAACTTTGCTTGGCTATCTGATGCCAAGGGTGGGACTTGTTTGCAATGTTCTGGGGTTTGATTTTTCACATACTGCTGCTCACTATCTGTTGATGTTTTTGCTACTGGACACAAGAGGGGAAGGGCTTTAAGCTGGCATTTTTTGGCTTTTTTTCTCCAAGCAAAGTTTTTCTCCAAGGCTTCAGTCTTGAGGTTTACAGGGCCCAGAATATAATGAAGCTCAAAACAAAACACCATTTGGGGTTGTACTAGATAGTGTATGGGGAAATCTGCTTCTCAAGCATTTAGGCTTTGGTAGAGTAGGTTTTTGGGAAGAGGTGGTGGGCAGGAAAGCTTCTGTGACTGGTCTTGCTTTGTTACTCCACTCCGTACACCTGTATGAGACCTGAGCAGAGAAGTAACTCTCCGCTGATGGATAGGCTGTGCCTTCAGTCCTTTTCTTAACAGGCTCATGTTTCATGGCTCTGAAGTTCCTAGCCATTTCTGCTGTGTTGGTGGCAGTATGGGAACCCCAAGTATGTGAGCGAGCTGGTAAAAAGGCCGTTCCTGTGCACTGTGCTTGACTTCTCTCACACACGAGAACAGTAAAAGAATGTCAGTGTTTTGGAGTTGACCACCCAAAATATAGGTAATGAGATTGGCTTAATTTACCACCTCTGTTGGGCATGTGCATCATGATAAACATCTAGGTTTTTCTAAGTAAATAGGTGCCTAACTCCTATTTTCTTCCACAGATTTTCTTTCACATGATTACATACTGTTTTTTTCCTCAGGACTGTTACTCTTTAACTAGACTTTTTTAACACTGACTCAATTCTATGAAGTAAAAAAATACAGTGCAACTCAGAGGCCTGAAAAGGTGTTGAAGCCTGAATACTGTGGTGAAATCACCTTTTTTTCTGTGAAATGTGTTTGCTCCCAGCAGCGACTTCCTCTAATGAGAGTCTTCAGAAAAGCATAAAGTTCTTTACATTAGCAGTAACCCAAAGTAATAGTAAGAAACAATCCTCGCAGCACCAGAAGGTTTAACTGTTGTGTTATTTGCTTTACCAGCAGTATGTTCTTTTCCTCCCAGAAAGTTAAACAGTATTGAGGGAACCAGAAAGTTTCCATATGGCATTGCTAGCTCCTGGACTCGCATAGAAAATCCCCTCCACGAGGGAAGTGAGTCTATTGAAGGGAATGCAGGCAAGGATCTTCCTAGCTATGGACAGGAGTACAATATTAGGATAATTGTAGCAATCAAATCTATCTCCTTTCTTGAATATGGTAATGGTTTGGGGACCTACCAAGGCATTTGGAATCCATTCATGTTTCCAGATTTTCATAATAGTGACATGTAGTTGGTGAGAGAACTTTTTTCCACCTTGCTTATATATATCATCTGGTATTCCATCAGGATCACATACGCCATTGTTTTTCATCTGCTTAATGGCTTTCAAGGTGTCTTGATAAATTGGTAGATCTGCTAGGTGTTGTCTTCAATGGGGTATTGTCTTCAGCATCTGAATCTCAGTTCAGGAGCTCTTGAAGGTGCTCCTTCCATTAGGCATTGATGGTGGAGCGGTTTTTAAAATGTATTGGTCCATCCTTGGACCTCAGAAGGATGGTTTCTTGTGTGCTTGGTCTGTAGATGGCTTTGGTTGCGCTGAAGAAATTATGCAAATCATGGCTGTCATCTCTTGTTCTTTCTCTCTCAAATTTTCCTCTGGGTCTTGGTTTTAATGTGGTTCTTGCTTCTGTTTGAAGCCTGTAGCATTCTGCCAAGCTTTGAAGGCTTTTCTTTTTCATAAGCGAGACCTTGAATTTCCATATTGTTCTCATAAAACTTGTCCTGATGTTTCTTTGTGGAGAAGCCTGGAGATTCTTTGCACACTTCATGGATGCCTTTCTTGAGGCTCTTCCAGTGATCAGTGGTGTCAAAATCATCAGGGAGGTCAGTTTCTCACTTAGGCCCTGCTGGAGTTTATTGCTTTTATCAGGGTCTTGTAAGAACTCTATAATGAACCTCTTCCTCGTTTGTTTGGTTTTTTTTGTTTACATCATTTCAGACCATCAGAGGTACAATAGATATTTGTTGCTAGACTGCTTCAGAAGTGCAACAAGCCACACCATGGGCTTTACATGGCCTTCATTGACCTGACAGAGGCCTTTGATTCAATCAACAGAGAGGCACTATGAAAGACTGTGATGAGATTTGGATGTCCCCCAAAATTTGTTACCTTCTTCATAATTACATGATAGCAACTGCCCTAAGTAATATCTCAGAAATGCTCCTCTTCACTATTCGAACTGGTATCAAGCAAGAATATGTGATTCCACCAATATTCTTTTACATTTGTATTATTGTGATTCCACATCTCATTACTGATAAATGTCCACTTGGAGTCATCACCTAGTATCTTACGGACAGGAATCTCTTTAACATCAACTAGTTACGTTCCAAATCCAAGATAACTATTACTGATCCATTACTGATCCTCAGTATGCTGATGATTATTTGTGTGTGTCCATTCAGTTGACAACCTCCAGGTCACTCTTGATTGCATCTGTGAAGCATATGAAATGCTTAGGTTCATTGTCAACCTCACCAAAACAAAGATACTTTACCAACATACCCCAAACCAACTAGCTGCTCCTCCACATATTACAATTAGAGGGCAGTCCTTGAACAATGGTGATCATTTCCCATACCAGGGTAGCCACCTTTCCCAAAAAGTAAACATAGATGATGATATTCAGCACTGGATAAAATCTTTGTGCTGCCTTTGGATGCCTTCAGAATTATGACTTCGATGATCATGACATCAGGACTCAAACCAAACCTGTCATCTACCAAGCTGTTGTCATCTCTACCCTACAATAAGGTGTGAAATTTGAATTACAAATCAGAAACACCTGAAATCTTTGAAATATTACCATCAGCAATGTCTTTGTAAAATCCTCCATTCTTTTGTCTTTCCAAATCAATTGCAAGGACAGAAGAATGAATGCCAGCGTTCTGGCTCAAGTACACACCACTAGCATTGAAGTCACGTTTATTTGGCATCAGCTCCATTGGACAGGGCATGTGATAAGGATGACTGACAACTAGCTCCCAAACCATGTCCTATGCTCTTAACTTACCAATGGTCACTGTTCTAGACTCATAGATTGTAGGGGGCTGGAAGGGACTATGGAAGATCATCGGGTCCAGCCCCCGTGCACTAGGCAGGAAAGACACCTGGGGTCAGGTGACC